TGCAGCCTGGCTCTGCAGCTTGTTCCATCACATGCAGCCAGAGCTGGACTTCAGCTTGGAGAGCAGAGTCAGCGCAGCTGAGCTGTCCTTTCACAGGGCAAGTTCAGTAAATCCATAATCGAAAGGATTTTGTTTGGTTTTAATTTTCCTAATCAGCTTAATTCCCGACAACAAAGTGAGCCATCAGATTGTTTTAAATGGCAGGATTCCAAACAACAAACATCAGTTTAAGCATTAATGACAGCAATTTGGGATACTATCTAGGAATTATTTACTGGCTGAGAGAAGTTTCTGGTTTGAAATTGAGTTGAGCAAATTTCTATTTATAATTACAACATTTCAGGCCAAGTCCTACAGAGCTTATTCAGGAAAATTTCTAGGAGCTACAAGATGAGTTTTAATATAAATATGCTCATCAGTACTTGATCTTTATGGGCAATAACCTTTGGGGTTATTTTCTTTTTTCCAGTTCAATGCTCATCAGCAAATGACATCACCATGGAATATATCACCAGTTATTTATCCTTGTGCAAGAAAAAGGGTGTCAGTTATTTATGTTTCAAAACACATTGCAGCTTTTTTAAATTGCATCAAGAGACTTAAAATCTGCATCTGAAACCCTTTGTTTCAAATGTCTTATTTGTAAAATGAGCTTAAAGCAATATTTACCAACTTCGTAGTTTTCTGTTATTTAATTACTGCTGACTGTCCTTGACTAAAATATTCTCAATGGGCAAAATTCATCTCTGGGTAAACATGCAGCAAGAACTGAGCTTCAGCACATTTAGCAACCCACATTTAGCAACCCCTGCAATCACTTGTATGTATACCCAAAAAAGCCCAGTCTGCTTCTTGGACATATATCAGCTGCAGTAATGTGCTGTGATGTGAAATACTCAAGTTAATGCTAAATAAAATCTTATTGGGACATACCTGTGTGAGTCTGAGTTAGAGTCTTCAGTAAAAGGCTCTCCTTTGTTACTCTGGGAATACAGTAGCTAATTCCACTTTTGGTACATTCTACTTGGGTAGTGAGCAGCAACAGTGAAAAAATTAATATTGACATTTCGTTTGGTGAGAAAACTTAACAGTTGAGCATTTGAGGAGTCTGAAAATGTCTTTCGAATCAGAGAATGAAATCTTGTTTATGAATATCCACAGTAAAACTTCTGTGAGCAATGCAGGGAAGGATCTCACCAAGAGATTTTTGTGTCCTTGTTTGAGTCCGAACACCTCAGCAATTTGTCACAGCAACCCCTCAGTCTGAATTTTTTAAAATATTCTTCTTTAAGGTGAGCAGCTTGAAATTCATTTGTCATTTTTCTGAGTCATCATTAGTGGTGACTTCTTAAACACAGGAGTGAGTATTTTCAAAGAATACTTCAGGCTTTAGTTGTTATACAGTGAGTGCCCAACAGGTTCCCTTTTAGAGACCCCATGTTTTTATTCACTTTATCTAACAACTTCTTTTCTCCTCCAGTTGTTGTTTGTGTTTGAAAGGCATGAATTCAAACTAGAAGACCAGCATGCATAAGTAACTTCAAAGCCTTTATGCATAGAACCTTTGCCAATTCTATTTTTGCTTTCCTGTTCATTCATACAAATTCACAGCCACGCCCTGCCTGTCACCTGGTCCTCTGCCAATTCAAATGAGAAAGAAATCGGAGAACTGGAAAACAAACTTCAGCTACTGTCCTAGGATATAACTACCCAGTTTGAGAAGTTAATTTTTTTTTTCCACTGAGTCTAGCATTGGGTAATCTCAGCTTTTTATATCTATTTTTGGTTTGAGGAAACTCTGGGAAATTTCTGCCTCCGAGGCAAGATATTTCTATTTCAAACAGTGAATTCCTAGGAAAACCTTGCAAGTGCTGGCACATGTATAACACCAGCCCCTCTGGGAGCTGAAGTCAATCCAGTGACCTGTGCCTATACGAGCTCCATTTCTTGCAGCGTTTCTCAGGCCAGATTTGAAGAGGCTGAGACAGTGGGCAGGTGGATCAAGTCAGAGATTTCTGCCAGGAGCTCCAGTCCCAGAGTGTGGGACTTCTCTCAGTCACGTTTTTGCTGAAGACAGCTAATGTCTGACATGAGATCCAGAAACTGTTTTTCCTGTTCTTGCTGAAGTACTGCACATACTAGCAGTAGTGTGCGTTCTAAGGAAGCAATCAGAACAGAACTCCATTTTCTTCTGGAGCAGAGTTCTTATATACCTGAGCTGTCATGAAAGAAAAATCAGTATAGCATTTGACCCATAGCCTTACTTCACACAACTGAATACTGAGACAAATTTTATTGAGCAGAACTACTTATACAACATCATCACTAAGCTTTCATTTTTGAGAGTACACCAAACACAAGCTTAGTGGGTTTTGTAAGGAAACAAATAACCTAGATGTAAAAATCTACAGTTCTTGCAGGATGCTGCTTGTCAGAATGTTCCCATTTCTAATAGTTTTCACAAAGAGAAGAGTCACCCAACACACTGAATTTTATGACTACAGGTTTGCAGGATAAAATTGTTGGCTGCTAAGGAAGGAATGCAAGGACATTATCCACATGGAGACTTAGACCTTGTCTATATAATTCCAAATAAATGTTGAGGCATAGTAGCTATTATTCTTTATACCACTAAAACTTAGTAATACCATTGACTCTAAGAGACCTGAAAAGCCACTCAGTCTTATGCAAAATAAAACTTGGGGAAAAAAAGAAAGAAGTAGAGAGCAAGCTCTATTTATTTATTTTGATTATAAGTTGGGAGGTGTCTGAAACTCAGGCACTGAAGAAATGGCTCATTCAAGCAAACAGAAACGTCTCCTCAGTGAGCTCCACTCCATGTGAAAGTTTCGTGCTCTGGGAAGGGGCTAGGACTTCTTGCCAAGAAAGTATTTGGACATTCATTTTTTTTTAATTAATGCTCCATGATATTCACACAAAGACACAGATATCGACTACTGTGTAGAATATATTTTTAATTGGAAGGGGCCATGCCAGCTGAGCTATAAACAAAGTGCAAGCTGTTATAATAATAGAGAAAAAGACCAGGGGAACAAAGTGAGTGATTAAATAAAAAAAAAAGAAAAAAAAAAAGTTTAGTTAAAAGAGACTTCCCCGGACTCCTGAGCTAAGGTAATGGTAGAAAAACATGAAACTTATTATGACCATCACGAATGCTGTTCAGGGATGCAGGGATCTTGATACCATGGAAATGGCACTTGTTTTCAGGGTTATCTTACATGATTCACATATAAATGAAGACAGTTCAGATTTTAGAGCAGTAGTAACACATCAAAATCTGCAAGTGTTGTTTACAGTGCATGCACATGTACTGTGTAGGGCATTGTGGTATAGAGATGCAAGAAATTAAAAATTATTTTATTTCTCCTTACTCTTTCATTTAGAAATGAGTGATGTAAGCTGTAGCTCCTGATATATAGAGAGGTGTCACTTACTTTAGGGTCAACCAGCTGTCACTGCTTTGATGCTGACTTGAGGCACATAGAGCAAATATATTTCCCTTAAGATTAAATCCCTTTATTTGCTTCTGTAAATATTTTTCTGTAAAATAAGTATCAGGAGCACTAATTTTATTTTTTTTTAATAATTATTATTTATTCCTTTTGCCTCTGAGAAACATGACTGTATGTTCTTTACTTGAAGCAGAGATCTGACAGGACTGTTGAGAAGCCCAAATGATGCACTTGGTTAGCACTATTAGCCTATGGGTGGCAGCAACATTGGCAGTGCAAAGCTGAGGGGACCCACTGGGTACTTTGCTGCTGCTGGAATGCAGAGCTCCAATGCAGGCATCCTCTACCTCACACGAGATAGTTTCTAGATACAATAGGTGGGCACCTGGAAGATGATATTAAGCACCCTAAGCCTTTCAACTGGTTAGCCCTAATTCCTTTTAGCACTGAAGTCAGGGAGAGTGTTCAGCATCTTTCTCAAAGCCCAAACACTGTGAGACCTGGGCAGACCTAAGATAAGTCAGGTCACTTTTTCTCAAGCAACACTGCTTGCAAAACTGGTAGAGACTACGCCAAATCTTGTCAATGACCTTTTAGAACTATTTTCTGCTTCCAATGTCAAATATATCCATTTTGCCTTGGCATTTACAGGACTCCTTTTCTTCTCGTGTATTTCAGCTCCAGGTAATTATTCTAATTTAAAATATATAAAAGCCAACAAATGCAATAAAAGTATTTTCTCTTTTGAAAATCATGAATAATTACCTCCCAGTTTCCATTACTTAGATGCCTCATAACGTTTTTATTTTGCTTCTCCAGTATTTCTCCTCTTCCTGCCAATGCAAATCTCACGTATTAATTGACTTCTATAGCATTTTACCTGAATATGTGAGTTAGCCATAAAAAGCACTATTTTATTCTGCTTTGGGGAGGGGGAATCAACAGCCAGCCAGACACCTTTTCTATTACATACTAAGGCTGCAATGCTTTAATAGCAGAAAGATAAACAGGAATTTTTGGAAAACATTCTTCTCTGTGAGTAACAGCTCCTCATTTAATTCTAAAACTTGTGTTTTTTAAAAAACTACAGTAAAAATAATTAAAAATTAGATCACTATACAAGAACTTATTAATTGAAAATAATAGTTGAAACTTAGAGGAGTCAGTATTGAAGGAAAAGATTAAAAAAGAAATAACATGTCAGAAGTTTCTCCTTTCTAAACATACAAGCATCTTAAGGTACGAAAGCAAATACATCAGAAAAAAATGAAGCAGAAGCTCATAAGTGATCTGTGATCCTACAGGTCAAACCTCTCTCACAAATTACACATTATAAATTGCTATCTCTTAAAATCAACGTGTATTGCTGTACAGACTATACACAGGCTATGTGCTACCTCTTAGTAGATAAACCTTCAAACCAATCAAGTTAAGACATTTTTTCCTGGACTTCTTTTTCCCTCACGTCTTTATAAGATTTTTGTCATCCTTATGGCAGGACTTCAGCACAGGCCTTCCTAAACTCACTAATGAATGAAGATATCCACCCAAACAGCTCCTGAGAGTCTAGGTCTTGTGGCTCCCCAAATTTTACCTGTATATTTGAAAGAGAGAAATATTCAATGTTAGTATACCCAGTAATATAAACCACATCCAGGATCTAAATGAAAGTAAAAGACAAAGAGAAAAGTTAAATAACTTAATTATTATTAATAATAATTATTATAACTAGAAAATTTAGAGCTGACTAAAATCTCTAACAAGCTGACCTCCAAAACATCCCAAGTAAATGTGCCTAAGGAGTTGTCACTGAATTACCTCAGTGACATGGGTTTCTGTATAACCCAGTCTCTAAGGTTGGTCTATAAATTTGCAGCAGAGAAGGAGAAAAATCAGTAAATCATGAAGCTTCCTGGTTATGCAGTTTGTTCGATGAACCCATTCATAAAAGAAAATGTGTACATTAGGGACAAGGTTTATATTCCATGGGGGTGGGGGAGGGTACAGTAGCAGCATGTTCAAGCCAAGAAGTTTTCTTTTTCAGTCATTTTGGTCTGCAAGCAAACAAAAATATTCATAGGGAAACAAACAGTTTTGAGAGAAAAAAAAATAATTATTAAAGAGCCATCTTTCCCTGTTTTCTTCTTTCCTTCACTTGAAAAAGGTGAACAGATGGAAAGTTTTTTGAAAGATGTGAACAATATTGGCGTCGTGTCTGCTCTGCTATGAAACAAGAGGCGACAGGCAGTCAGACAAAGTTCAGCCCCAGGACAGCGATTCCTGCATTAACTAAAATCACTTCCACATATGTTCTCCAGTGCTAGGATAGGAAAGGATTTTTCCTATTAAATCTCTTGCTAAGATTTAGTTCAAGAGGTTTGTCATCATTTTCAAAGATTTCCCCTTAATGGGATCAGTGAGTTACAGAACACAACTCTGCCTGCCACAGCTTTCTAATTGAGCAGAACAAATCTAGAGAACATGCTCCAAAGGCTTCATCAAAGAGTTTAAAAAGGCATCTTGTGTTGCTGCAAGATCTTCTCTTGGTTGTGATTGAGAGCTTCTCTCTAAGTGGGGGATACAGCTCTCCTAAGGCTAAACAGCAATGAAGTTGTATTTCAGGATTTCAGATTTCAGCACAGATCCATGGAAAGGTCTGGACAGGTAGCTCTCATTATCCAAACACGTTCACTGGGACATCTTCTAACAAGTTCTAAGGAGCAAACCCTCTGCCTGGAAATCAGAAACACAGTGAAAGAAACCTCTCACACACAATCTAGTCACAGAAACATTAGCATTAGCCAGTGACACCTGGTTAAGAGTTTTGCCTGTTGTGTTCCTAATTGCACCTCCTGGGTGCTCCAAGCCCTTGATCTCTGGCACGCCTCGCCACTCACCTATGGTGTACCATCAGTTAAACAGTAATGAGAGAGGCATTTCCTGCAGCTAATGACCATCTGTGACAAGTTGATAGCCCACAGCTATACCACAGGCAGTTATCCCCAATTTATTGTTCATTCCATAGAAGTGTCACATGCCAAGGTCACTATTAATTTTATCAGCAGAATATAAAATCATAAAGGTAGGCTTGTGGATTTTTTTTTATTTTTTTTTAGATGTAGGTAGCCATGGAAAGCATGCTGCACAACACATTCCCAGACCAGACATTCCCCCAGGTAAGATGGACTATTCCTTCCTAGTGCTATTGAGATGACAGCCTGGTCTTTGATCCCCCATCCTATTTTATATTTTCTTTTCATTTTTCCTGCTTTATAAATAAGCAAAAAGATCTACCTAGCAGTAACATTATTCAGAAGAAGAAAAAAAAAAAAAAATCCATTCTAAGGAAGAGAAATACATCAAATGCCTGACTTTAGAGAATAACAGGGAAGGGCAAAAAGTAGCAGGATTAAAACTTGAGGAAACTTCTGGCTATGTGGAAAATTAAATCCTCTTCAGATGCAAATAAGAGTCTCAGATGAGAGTTTCCAATACAAGAAAAGCAAGTGAAGAGCCCCAGACACGTGTCTGCAGCACAGCATCAGACGTGTGCAGCCTCCTGGCTGCGTGTGCACAGCTGAGAGAAGCAAGGTCTGTGCAGGAGCAGTGTGACAGAGGATGCACATGCAGGTGGGCACACCCAGAACCCACTGGGCATGACACAGCTCTGCAAGCAGGCCCAGCCACACAACACTAACTCCTTCGGAAGATGAATTTTAGGAAAAATGGGTTAGTCTTCTATATCCCATGCACAGTGTCTCCCCAAATCTCTGAATTTTAAACTTGGTGAACACTTTTCAACCATTTCCACTCATGCAACTTGATTGTTAACTCTCTTATTTACACTGTGCTTCTCATCCTTTTTAATTCATGCTTTATCCCAGTCCCTCACACTTTTTTGAAGCCTTTGTCTATGTGCTATATACATATTTGGCTTGCTACCCTACACTGGGGCATTTTTCCCCATTTGGGAAAGGCTGCAAGGAGACACAAAGAAACCCTTGGACATTGTTACAGTATTACTTTCAGTGAAACATTACTAATTAAATTTCCTTGGTCAAACATCTCACTAATCTTCAATGTCTGTTCATTTAAGTCCCCAAAGGTCTTCCTGGCTGCATCTTCTGTGTAACGTTTGCCTATCATAAAAAAATGTGAACCTCTGACCAAAAATAAAAACTTTTTCTACTGTATTCTTTCTGTTCAGAGGAAAAAGTGATTGAGAAAGATAGGTACAACTCCAGTGCTAGTGTGGGTAAATAGAATAGGAACAAACAAGAATAGACCATTTCTTTATCAGAAATCTTCTGCACATGGAGTTTCCCTTCTGCTCTGTTCATTTTTAGATGTGCTACTACTAGCATCTCTATCTCAGTCTCCTTCTCACTCAAATAACAGTAGCTAAATCAATGTCCTGGACCATAAGCTTGTCACTAGAAAAAACCCTCTGTCCAAGTAGGAGAAGATATGCAGCTGCCTACACCAGCCAAAGATATAATCATTGGTAGGAACCAGAAAATATGCAGTTTTCTGTAATGTGGAAATTATAAAATTTCATTGAATTTATAAAGTGACTGAACATCTACTTTCCTTTTTGACACTTGGGCCACAGACCCTCTAAAAAGTAAGATGTAAGATATCAAGAAAACTAAAAGCCAGATTTTCATTCAAAGCATTCCACCACTGTCAGGTTTTTTTGGACAGTATAGCTATAAAGAATATGGAAGTATGGGAACTTCTTGCACTTTTTTCTTCCTCCCTTTTTTTAAAGAAATGTAGATTTATTTTCATCACATTTTAATATGATATGTACCAGTACATTGCTATAAAGCTTCTTCATTTCATCACATCTTTTTGACAGCTGGGATAGATCCCCTTCATATTTCTGAATTAAATCCTGTAATACAATAAAACTTCTTAATTTGGTATAGCAGCAAAATATTAAATCAGGAATTAAACAGCAGTGCAAACAAGATAATTCAAGTCAAAATTTTCATGCCACAAAACATTCACATTTCACAAAAGATAAGCACACATCAAGCACACACATTTCCTTGCAAATATTAAGACATCCAAGAAAAAAAAAAAGAAGCATTAATGTTAGAGAATTTTTAACTGCATCAGAACTAGATAAGTATCACAAGGTCCTAATCTCCACTCATATTTGGCATAGTCTAGCCTTTTTATATGTCAAGGAAACACTCACAGCTGCTAGTTCACAAAAAGGTGGAGACAGGCCCCTAGAAACTTTTGAAATAAATTTTCTTAATCCTAATATCTTTGTACCATATGCACTTTCAACAACTTAATATGTACTGAAGAAGCACACCATTGGTCTGACCCACGGGAGAAGGAAACTTGGGTTGATGAGATGCCGACAGTGCCCGGTGCAGCACAGCACAGGAGATGCAGGAGAGCAGAGGTGAACGTGCCCACTCCCTGGAGTGGGGCATCCCTTCACTGGAAGCAGCCCTGCTCACAAGTGCAACAGTGCTCTCGGGAGTTAACTAATTTCTCTGTACCTGAGCTAATAAGCCCTGTGCTTGGCTCCCTGACTCCTAGCCAGAACTGGGCTCCCTACAGCCAGCCCAGCTGTCTCGCTATCATGTCCTTCAACCTATCTTGTTCTGCCACTAGTATGGGCAGAATTATCTTAGATCAACCTACACTCACAATTTAGGCATTCTCTTGGATGATCTTTCTTGGATGGTCTCTTTTCCCAAGTAACAAGTAATAGGGCAAGAGAAAACAGCTTCAGGTTGCACCAGAGAAGGTTTAGGTTAGATATTGAGAAAAGTTTCTTCCCCAAAAAAGGTTGTCAAGCATTGGAACAGGCTGCCCAGGGAAGTTGTGAAGTCCTCATCCCCAAAGGTATTTAAAAAACATGTAGATGTGGTGCTTAGAGACATGATTTAGTGGTAGACCTCACAGAGTTAGGTTTACAATTGGACTTGGTCTTAAAGGTCTTCTCCAAGCTAAATAATTAAATATTTCTATGATTCTCTATAGTCTATTTTCCTCTCTGGTGGAAAAGGAAATTATTACAAGTTCATATACGCTCTGAAATTGCTTATTCCAAAATGCTTTTTGTAGGGCAACCATGGGACTACCTGTTGCTCATCCACTCCAGCCCATTTCCCTGTGAAGCAAAAGCAGGAGACACAGAAACTCTGAGAAGTCCTTCCCATGCTGCAGCTTATGGCATAGGACAGTGACTAGTTTCCCTCAAATGCTCCTGACTTCCTTCTCAGGGCATGTCTCAGCACAAACTAAGCACATTACTCATCTTTTACCTCCAGTCCACAGTAAGGCTGCAATAATATTACCTTTAGTTCCTTGTAGAACTGTGACTCCTGGGGTGCTGCCTTCATTGTCTTGGGTTTAATAAGCCGACTGCACTGAATAACGTTTTCCAGTTCTTTTTTTAAAACTAATAAAAGAGAAAGAAAATAAGATATTTCACTAGGATGAAGTTGTGTCCAAAGGACTGCAAATGACTAATTTAGGACACAGGGAAATTTAGAAGAATATGAGTCTGTAATACATTCATCTAGGAATATTAACTTTCTGTTTTGAAACAGAAATCCTGAATGAGGCAAGGGCCTTATGGAAAAAAATAGCATGTGATCACATCACAGCAACTGCAGAATGATGAAGAGGTTGATAGTGTGGCTATGCAGCAGCTGTAAATCTGACCTTTCCTAGCTCTGAGCATTGAGATTAGCAGTGAAAATAACCTTCTTCAAACCTATGTTTTTGTGTAGAAATTTCAGGGTTCCTTTAGAGAGAAAAGAACAAAAATTCCACTTTATGTAACAATAAGAAATCTTGACAGTTAGCACAAAGTACTATATCAGACTGCCACTGTGGGAGCTCTCAGGGTGTGAAATGGAGAAGAAGATACGTTCTTGGCTGCAGGGGCTTGGTCATGACCTGATCCAGGCTGAAGTCTAGCATCTTCCTCCCCTGTGCTCATGCAATACCTGCAGCAGACGAGCCCCAGGATGTGCCTTGAACTACATGGTGGGAAAGGCTGATTCAGTGGCATTCTCATTCCCTTTTTGCCCTCATAAATGAGACTCAGAAGATTTAAGTGACTACATTGGGCCCATCAGGAATCCATGCAGGGAAGAGGCCAGTCAATCGTCTCCAGTTCCCATGTTTCACTGCCTTGGACAGCTCCCAACAATTTCTGGTAGTGTCCATTGTACTGCTTTACCCATGACTTTCCAAAATTGTCCTTAAAAGGTATAGTGATTTTGGATTGCTACCAACATTGTCCCCGAAGAACACAAGTGACTGAGAGCAAATAGTGTTATTTTTAGTTACTTATGTCTTTTAAATTATTGGAATTTCTTGGAACAGAATAAAAAGTCTCTTTAGCAGCCCTGAGCTACATTCCTGGCTGACTCCCAAAGCCCAGCAGATTAAGTACAAGGGTTTTTCAAACCAAAAAGGTGAGTTTAAGTGTTATCAAAGTCCAAAGTGGGTGGTGTTGGTCTGTAATTATTCAACATCAGTGCCATAATTTCAAAAGATAGATTTTCATAAACTTTCAACGCAATGTAAGTAATTTTCATCCACTCATGCACCTTCTCTATCAGCTCTCAAACGGTACAATCTAAAATCCATCGAATTCACCAGCCACCTTATGATACTGTTCAATGGTTTGTTGTAAAAGTCTGCCAAAAATTATCTGATATTTGAACAACCTTATTCTGTTCTCTCCTGTTGAATTCACTAGTGTTGGACTGCTTTCTAGAGGAGAAGACCAGTTTGCTTCAAAGAACTGCTTGAACTTTAGACTGAGCTGCAAGATTTCTCCTGCTGCATTGCCTGCTCCCAGAGACTCCACTACAGCCGTAACTTGGATGGAACACTTGTATCACTTAACATTTGTAGTTTATTATAAACTCTATTTAACATGGGCAGTATATTTTTTAGGTTTTTCAACCACCTGGACACATTTTAATTTTTATTTTTAAAAAAAGAATCTCATAGTAACATGGCAGGTTAAAAGTATCACCATAGCAACATTTTTCCTCAATGTTTTGAATCTTTACCTCTCTTCATAAACTACAAAAGTGCAATGAAAACCTGTTCCAAATGACTGCACAAAGTATGAAAATCTTTCTCTGAATTTAGAAACCAAATTTACATACCATCAACTTCAGCACTGAGGCCCTTCATGGAAGCTGGAAAGGAAGAGAGAGGGAAAAACATGCTACTGAGTACCATTCGTATTGTGAGGATGAGAGTTCCCACAGAAGTTGAAGGACTTTGGTTTTTATTTGTTGATTATTTTTTCCCCCTCCCTTCTCTTACCATCAGGAACAGCTTCAAATTCTGTCAACTCCAGAGAAAATTTGGCCAGATCAGGCTCATGTAAGAAGATCTGTTCCACAAGGGCATGAAGCAAGGTGAATGTTCTCTCTTTACCACGCAACAGAGGTAGCTGCAAACAGAATAGACCAATAATTGCCAGACTGAGCTATTATACTAAAAAATAAAATAAGAAAAGAACAGCAAGGATGTTGATAGCTTCCAGGTAAATTTGACAAGAATAGAAAACAATGAAATTAAACCTCTTTTCAATCTGCTATTTCACCAACATTCTTGATTAAGATCAGCTTTACACTTTCATATCTGTTGACCTTCCTTGTTCTTTTGTGTCCTCTTATTGACACAGGTCTTTTTTAACTTAAGGTATCCTAAGTGATTTTAGCCAATTTTGGACCCCCAAGTGGAGTTATTATTCCTTTACACTTAAAAGCAGTGTGTTGTGTTCACAAAGATAGCAAAGTTCCTTAATTGAATCTGGGAAGATGCTCTGTGGCAGAAAATTATTTTGTAGGCATTTTTCATTATGATAGATGTGGTATTACAGCCATTATATATATTTTTAAAAAAGGAAACAGAAAAAAAAATGCAAGCTGTGCCTCAGAATTGTCACTAGAGTTATAAATCACTCACTCATATATTAAAGTCTCCAGATGGGAAAGATACCTTACAAAAACAAAATAAAAATCTTTCCCTCTTCTATTTACAGATCAGGCATAATCTTAGAATAGTGTTAAAGGTACAAGGCAGCTTGGGAAATTTCTATCTATTTCTTACTTTTTAGGATAAGAATATGATGCTCTGCCACTGTTAGGTGGAGGAGGGGAAAAAACCCTGCGCTCAGTAGCAGCACTTTCTGATGGCAAAATCTGATGAAGAAGGGAAAGCAATTTCCTTAGAATTAATGGAAAACTCAGCCTAATGTCACACACAGTAGGTCAGCGAAGAGACAATTAGAGAACTAAGAGCGAGGTGATGTTCCTTGTAGAGTAGATCTCTGTCAGGAAAGAGTAAAGACCACAACTGCCACATTCATCTCCTATTCAATCATCCAGGAGAGCAATGATGGGGGGGTGAAAACTGTTGCAGGCTAATTTCACTCTCTTTTAGTTTATTCATTTGCATTCTACTTGATTTACTTTCTACTTTACCTTAAAATGGCATTGTACCACTTGTTGCAAAAGACCTTTGCACTGGAGTGAAATGAATTGGGAGTGCCACAAGAGTGGCAGTACCCCAGAAGAAATGTCATAGTTACAGCTTCTGACCACAGTGAAATCACGTGGATCCATACAACAGTGCTGCACAGAACTGCAAAATGCAGTATATCTAAACTTCCATCTAAACAGGGGCCTGCAACTAAAATGCCTCTTCTAGCCAGAGGATCTGGCAGTCAGGGCAGTCAGTATTTTGATGTTCTGCCTCATTAGAAACACAGTGTGTTCAACACCACAATACCTCTATCGAGCCAGTGCTGCTGTCTAAAATGGGGAAATGCATCTTGTTATACCACACATTAAAGAACACATTGTTAAACAGGATTTTGTTTCTACTCTTACCAAGAGCAGCTGTTAAAATGTTAGCTACTCATTAAAAATTATTGCCTTTCCCCACATTCCAGGCAAAACTGAGTTATTAATGGCATACATAATGGCTGACATACTTCAGAATATGATGATTTTAATGACACAAAAAATACATACTTTTGTCAAGGATGACAGTCGGAATCCTTTAGCCTTCTCTTTTCCAGCCTTTTCATTTAAATGGTTCCCAATGGCTAAAATGTACTCCAAAACAGCAACAAATTTCTGGCTGGATTGCAGTTGCTTACTCGCTTGGATTTTCTGGTTTATTAGCTGAAAAACACAAATCTTCCCCCAGTTCAGACTGAAAATGTGAGCAAAACAATGGTGCCCATGTCTTCTCTTTGCCAAAGCTATGTTATCCCCCCTTGAAGCCAGTCACACCTCAGCTGGTGGATACCTTCCTACTCAGCTTCCCTGGGGGAACAGGCCACAGGGGTTTTCAGAAAGGGCCAGTGAAAAGTCTCCCACCAACATAAAGCTAGTGTTGGCACAGTTATTCTGCCCCCGATGGAGGTCACAGCATTTCTGACTGCCAAACCAGTCCTGCCAAAACAGCTTCAACCTCATCTCTTAAAAATGCTTCTGAAAAAAAACATTTTGCTCTCTGAATGGCACCAGATTGCACCAAATGTCAGGCATCAGGGGAAGCAGATAGCCTAAAGCCTAAAGTTTTTCCATCCTTTACTTCCCTCCCTCCTGTTTTTACCAGTGTGAGTCTGTTATCTTACCAAAATTCTTAGCACAGTTTCCCCCTAAGGAAGAATAAAAATTTCCTGTAATCAAACTCAGTATCAATTCCTGCTTCTGCAGGGAAGTCACCTCCCTTCTAGGGCCATAGATACAAGAGGTGGTTTGGGTTTAAATTAGGACATGTATATTTTTTTAGCACCACACCTCACTTCAGTTACCAACACACAAATTTAAAAACAGGGAAGGGGTGAAATGTGGAAGAGATGAAAGCCATTGTTAAAATATTTGTAGCCTGTCACAGGGTCAAAGGGTGCTGAAAGCAAATATTCAGATTGTTCTTTAGAATTTTAGGTGCGTAATCTATGGTTTACAAATGTGTCAGCATGCACAAGTTAGAAAATACTCAGACAACTAATCAGCTCTTCAATGAGCATTAAATATGCTTCAAAGATAACAGTATATATGTTATCTTCCAAATATTCAAATATTTGGGTTCAGTGGAGGACAGCAAATGTGAAGCATTGCACCAGGCAGGGTCAGATATCCATCCATCTCCGCAGTGTTCCCATCTGTTCCTCTTCCAAGTTTTGTTCACTGTTACTATGGTTTTAATCACAGCCACACAAAGAACAACAAATCAGACTTGCAGAACTCTCAAATTTTGTTTTCATTCCCATGCATAAAGAGAGCAAAACCTTCAAAACATTTTAATAGAAACAGAATTGTGTTTAAATACTTTGATTTGAATCAAAGCATATACAAACCCTGGCAGGTAAGGCAGTGGTTTGGAACAAGAAGGTGCAGACCATGAGACTGGAACACAGTTTATTTGCCTCACCCCAAAGTTATTGACCTCACCCCACCCCTAGGTCATCCTGAAAAAGTCAGAAAGGGACTAGAACTCTGGTTTGCAACATTTAATTTCAGTACAGTGATCCTTAAGGTAAACAGCCTCCTTCAGTCTTCTGAAAGTATTAAACATCTGTGAGATGCTGGTCAAATAAAGTTGCTTTAAGTATCTATGACTTTAAAATTATTCTTTTAGCTAGAGGGACAAGAAGGTCCCCAAAAAAGGAATTGCATTTTAATGGTGAAATTTACTCCTGTCTTATCACTGGCCAAGAAAAGAGGAAAGTTTAACGACCTCAAACAAAAATTTGGAATTCCTTTCCTGTTCTTTTCTCCCCGCTTGGTGAGTGTCTATTCCATTGCCAGGCCTATTAACAACTGCTTCCTGAACCTCAGTGGAACAGGGATAATATTAATTGCATGTACATGTTTATACATGCATATCGTAGCTCTCACGTGCTTCCAGCTTTTTTTTTAACCGTGTTTTGTTTTGAACCAGTACTGTGGAACACTTTCATTAACAAAACAGTAAAATTGATTGGATTCCCAAAAGCATTCCAAATATACCAGCCTAGTGCTGCTGCATTTCAGATGCAGCCTGTTTCTAACAGTTTCATGTCGTTTACCATTCCTTGGCTATCAGAGCCATGACCTATAGAGAATTTCAAAAATTTTGTGTGTTACTTTTGAACAGTGCCATGGAATGTTTTTTGGGTTTTTTTCTACCATTAGGCTGCCTGGATTATTACACTATGAATTGCTCACATTATGGACTGTGAGATATTTTGCCCTTTTTTTTTTTTAAGGAAAAAAAAAAACAAAATTTTCTCAACTACACCACTTTGAAATATATTGAGGCCACTTGGCCCTCTACAACCTAACTGGTAGATTTTGACTACAACCACACTATCAAGGAGTCATGTTACTTACAGGCTCCAAATCTCTCATGCTCACAGGGAGCTCACGTATGGTAAGCAGGAGATCCAGCCTCTGGCCTAAGTGGGGGATTTTGCACATCTGCATAGAATGGAACAGAAAAAGTATTAAAACCAAAACATGCACATATAAGTTTAATAATTTCTTAATTCATCTGCACTATAGTTTTCCTAATTTCTGTGCTCATTTATTAATTTTATTCTAGGCCTTAAGTCTGTAGATATATGATAGCAACTATAAAAACCATATACCTGAATGTTTCATTTGCATATGCAAATTCAATAAAACACTGTATGCTTGTGGGGTCAGACACTATTAAAATCAATGACATTCATTTCTTGTGGACAAGAATAGTTAAATGCATGTAATTTTACACTTAAAGATTGTGGATCTCAAAATAAATCAGTTTGGACGAAGAAGAGGATGCCTGACTTGGAGAAGCAAAGGGATCCTACAGTTATCTTCGTAATATCTACATATCTCAACTCTTTATCAGATAAATCCTCTAATTCTGACTGAGATTGTAAATTTAAATTTGAAACAACAGCTTCTTGTAGTGGTTTTATCTAGAAAAGAATGTGCTAGAAATAGCATATGATGTCTTTTAATACTGTGTCTTCTTACCTCTAACATAAACTGATCAACCACATGAAGCTCTGAAGGAGATCCCTTGAATGACTGGTACCTTTCTGCATCTTTTGGTGTTGGCATGTATCTGTAAAACAGCAAATGAAAATTAGATGGCCTTTTCCCTTCATTCTCAATTGCTGTAACATAAAACAATCATTCCATTCCATGCATCAGAATTTTGTACTGTTTAGTGTATTTTACATAGTGAATATTTATTCTTTAACCATTGGAACTTCACAGACATTTGAACCAACTATGCAATGGAAAGCAGAATTATCTGCAAATACTTTGGATGAACCTTCCAAAACCACATAGAAACAATGTACAGTTTCTGAGCAGTTATGGCCATGCTGGCTTAGCTTGTCTCCAGCAATATCTTCCTTGAAAAATGAGCACAGCAGCAGACTCATGCTCTGGTGTGATTAACCAGCAGGCCCCACAGTCTGACCCAGTCCTGTCTCTAAAACTTTAACTGCTGATGACACAAAAGTGGGCAATGATGTTTCTGTGTCTCTAAGCACTGCATCATACCCAAGATCCATTTCTTTGTCGTGATAGCTCCTAGAGACCCACAGCTTTAGTCCTTCTGCATAAAGTAACAGAATATTCTCCCACAGTACTCCAGAGCTGCAGATTTTTACAAAACTGACATGTATAAATATGCCTCCACTTGGAAAAATAAACTCACATCACCACAGGAGAGTTCCCCTCTCCTTTGGAGACCCTCCTGCCTGTCTGACTGATACTCTGTAGTATTCTTACTATAACTTAAAGACAAAAAATTGAATCAATGTTATAGCTAACACATGAGAAGGAGCATTAAGAATCTTAAATGAGTATTTAAGCCTATCATCTTCTTTCTCTGCAAGCAAACTACTAAATTTGTATGTGATTAAACATACGTGGGGACAGATACATGATTTCACTGTTAGGAAATACATTAAAAAAAAATTTATCATGTTAAACAAGAAAAAACAAGAGTGGTTTAGGGTTTTTTTACTGTTGTCAATTCAATATGACACTTCAGGTGAAGAACTGGTGAAGTCTGAATTATTAAATATATATTAAAGGAGATTACAAAATAATCCATTCACTCTTCATCATCAAGAAAAAAAAAGAATTCACATTTAAAATTAACAGTTATCCATTGGCAAATGAAAGATTTTTTTATTTATCATTAAAAATAGCTTAACTTTTTAAGCACATTGAGAGAACACTTTTGTTAAAGCTGACAGCAAATATCTTCATTTAATCAGAAGTCTGATATTCCAAACTGTTTTAATTAATTTCAATTCATACACATAATACATTATCTAGAAGGTTTAATGCTTACAGCACTAAACAATGGAAGCCATGAAAAAGGAAGCACACGAATATATGAATGCATTCCATAAATATCTTTTTACATGAATGCAGCTCTAAAGGAGTTTGTGCAATGAAAAATCTCACACTGTTATGAAACATTAAGTTTATAGAGACAGAGAATGCTTTGCTATTGATTTTAAGACATCAGGATAAAGAATCATTCAGAGCACTATGGAAAGGTTTCTATATCAAAGTAAGTCCTGAAGTTTCTAATAATATTCCACCACCTTCACTAACCTTCACTGGATACATGAGCAGAACATTTTGCTCACTGGTCACAGTCTTGAAAATGTAAACTTGGTTTTGGCTTGAAATATTTTTCATTTTACAATAGTAGAATTCAGATCTCCTGCTCAGGCAATAATGACAGGTATAATTTGCACAGAGATGAGTTTTCCAGTCCCTGACTATCCTGTTTAAAGTCCTGTCATAACCACAAGTTCTCAATTAACTGGAGGCCACAGTTTTCAATGATAAAATTTTCCACCATGGCACCTAAATCAAGTGGAAAGGCCTAAAAATGTGCTAAGTGTCCTGCTACTTGTATCATGCCAACTCCACTACAGTACGAATGAAACTTCTGAGTGCTGATGTTTCAAGACAAGTGTCTGCCCCTACAATGAGGTTTCTGAGTGGGAGCTGCAAGACTGAACTACTTTGGAAATCCAGCACTCCATTCTGCAATGCATCTCATGTATTTCATTTTTTATTTTATGTAATGTGTTTTAAACTGCTGGGGTGGGAAAAACAGGCTTCCTTTTACTTCAAGATTTGCATATGCATTCCTAGATTTTGGCAATAAATAATACCAGGAACAGAATCCTTGATCCTATATAGCAATGCAGCATCCAATAGCTCCTACACATTCCACTGCTATAAAAACGTCCTTAGTATTATTGTTATCAGAGGAAGACTATGAAACCTTTAAGGAAAAAAGAAAAATCTCTCAAGCATCATTGCTATCATTATTAGAACTATTATTGTCTGATGGTAAAGAGCCAGATGCTATAAATCAGTCTCAGAGTTGTTACACTAATTTCAACAACATGGAGATCCTGGGCTGAATCTGCAGCACTGTACTAGGGCTTGAACAACAGTGTGTCCAGTGTTTTCTTTCAAGCATTGATGTGAGCAGAGGCTGCCCTCATAAATTGGGATGGCCAGAGGTCAAGAGCTCTGCTGTGCTGCAGGACTGGAGGCATTTCTCACTTCTTCCAGCTCTGCGATGTCCATTCCAACCCAAACCATTCTATGATTCTATAATTCTAGAACACTTAAATACTCAGTGTCTTGTCCACATCCCTTCATACTTCAGGCAAACATCGTACAAGCAATCTCACACAATGACATTATTTCCATACACTACTACCTGTCTGTCTTCCTGTTCTCATCACATTCTAAGTACAGACTTGGTTTTCCAGACTTTAACATGACTCTTGATGCACTGATGGGGATCAGGATTTTAAGTGCAGAATTAAACACATTCCACGAGAAGTGTGCTCTTCAGCAGCAAAACTGAGTATTTACTTCTTCAATTTCTTTGCCAGTATCATCTTTTTGCAAGCTCACTCTAGCAAAAAAACTCAAATTTTTTCTCAGTTTGAACCAAGAAACGATTTCACATCAAATTTTCCTATGAATATGTATAATTAAATGGTACAGGTATCACCTGGGGACTGGGATGTATAACGGACACTACTCTAGGATCTCACTTCTTTCCTTTCTTTCCCAGTCTTAAACCATTCAAAGATATACAATCCAGTTCCTACAAATTTCACAAGCTAATAGTTTTCGTACACTCCTAAAATCTATTTGTCTCCACGTAGTAATACAGTTTCTGTAGACCCTCAGAAATACTGATATTCTTAATATCTCACAATCCCATGAAGCTCCTTTAACACTTTTCTGGCTTCCTCCTCTCCAAACCAGTTTATAAATTTGGAACAGGATTCCATTTGTCTATTTCTGATTTTCTAATAGACAGTAAGTTTGTAGTAAGAGGTGGTGTGAAGTTTTCTCATGAAGTTAGACCTGCTCACTGCCACAACTTACTCTTTTACTAACTCTGCTCCTTGTAACAAGTTCACAAAACCATGTCAGATTTGTTGTCATTTCTTGTAATCACCTTTCATACATGTCATAGGAAAAAGTGATATTTTGGGGGCATGGTCTAAAATCTCAGTTGCAAGGACTGAGATTTCTGCGTGCAGCCCTAATATTCTATTCACAGACAGGATAGATCCATTGTTACAGTAGCATCTTTCCTGAACTTCACATTATTTGCAGAAGATTATTCCTTCTCCAAGAGGTAAGATATATTATAAAGAAACTATTGAACCCCAAAGATTACCTTCTTAGTGCTGTAATCTGCTCATCTGTAAGTCCACCACTCTCTTCATGTATAATGTATAGTTTTTCTTTCAGCTCACTTGGTTTTATATGGAAGCTTTTAAGAAAGATGTCTGGAGGAAAATTATTCTTAGATTACTTGGAAGAAAATGCTCAAGGGAAGGAAAAAAAAAATCACCAAAACATTTCATATTTACTTTCCATATTAAAAAAAAAATCCACCACACTCCAAAACTTAGTAGCTGCTAACACTACAGCAAAACCTCAGCTTTGTATTTTCTTTACACAGACATAGCAGTAGCCAAGCAAAAATGTATTTCTGTATTTCTGTCAGAACATAATCAATGTTTAAAAGAGAACTATTGAGATACTGCTATCATAAGCAACTCAAGTACTAGCTCATATTTATTTCTCTTGTACTCAGCTCAACAGTAAAACTATTTTTTTCCAAATAACAATGCAATGTGTTGGCATAGTAAAATATTTTGAAGATCAAATAAATTAAATTTTCCATTTATTTAGGTTTTGTTTACATGCTTTGTTTAATTTCCAAGGTTCAAAACAAGGTAGTTAAAGTCCATGCAAGAAAAATTACTCCTAGAATGAAGGCATCCTGAGAAACAGAAGTGCTTCCTTTTTCCACACTGCCTGATATTCTAAATTCTGATTAAGAGTTTTTGTAATGTTTAAGACTTTGGTGCTGGCACAGGGCTGGCTCATAGTATGCATTATGATAGGAAATGGCAATAAGACTTCTCTTCCCAAACAGGTGAAGAACCATTTGTAAGGCTGTTGCTCCCAAAAAGACTACTTTGTCTTGCCAGTTACTCTTTAATTAGTGTTTGCTCCATCATCATTACCAAAGGATGAAGGCAAAAAAGGAAGCACAGGGAAGTGAACAGAGGGCATCAACAGAGAACGCAAAAAGGTTTAACTGCTTCTTGGTGTGGGCAGGAGACAGAACTCCTGTGAGCAGCACAAGAGGACTGGGAAGGAGAATTCAGGAAGGATGTGGTGTATTATTTACCTTTTTTTTTTTTTTTCACTCCTTCTAAAAAAGAACAGAGTTTTTCAAGTTAAAGGAACTTGCTGTGACCCACCATCTGTTAATGGTTCTCACAAGAGTTGGCCAATGGAATACACACCATTTATTCCTCCTCTGACACGCCTTCCACACATTTAAATTTGTTATAAGATCTAACTATAGTGCTAAGCCTCACAGAATTGTCTCTCTTCCCTTCTTACACTATTTATGCCCTCTATCTTTTGCTTCCCTATGCCTTTCAGACCATGTTTCCCTTCAGGAGGGGACATGTCCACGGACCTTAACAGAGTGCACAGCTCAGAGTGAAACATTGATGTGAAATTCTTCACTACCTGTCTACAAAGCAGTTGATGTTTTCTTGAATGTTTTCAGTAGTTGAAATTAGCTGCTGCATAAATGCTAGTTACTAGAATTAGTGAATTACCACTAGGTAACAGCATTTGAATTTAGTGTGTAGATGTCTCCAAACTCTCGTTTTTCACTTGTGCTCCAGAAATCAAGGAATTCTGGAGTTTTATCTTTCTCTTTGTTAATTTAAGAACTGTGATTTGCAATACACTTGCAGGAAGATTAATTGGAATTCTCAGGATCAAATTAACTTTTGATCCAAGTAATGTCCATTATAATAAGTATATGCCAAAAATCTCACTTATGGGACTTTAAGGATAAGATTAAGGAATGGATGCAGAATGTGTCAGCAAAAAAAAAAAAAAAAAGTTGTTAAAGGAACAGGATCAAAAGGAAGAATTGTGCTATCTGCAAACCAAAAGAGAAATTTCCTCAAAGAAATGGCAATAATTTCATAGATAAAAGTGCTATTACAGGATTATTTTTATCCACAACAGCAGTTTTGTGTCATTCACTTCCTTTTAACCCTTCAAACTGTAAGTCAACAGATGCAATAATTCCAACAAGTAATCTCCATTTATAGTTTCCAATTAAAACTTTACACAGTCTCCAATGTATATTCTTTCTTATCAATATTCATTAAAATTAAATCCTTAAAACTTCAAAATTAAGCCCCAAATTCTTTACATATGTGACATTTCTTAAAACAGTGCTAGTTTATAGAACTCTTTTGGAAAGCCATTTCTGTAGTAGAAATTAGTCTTTGAAGAACAATTACTCTTGCTCCCTTAATATCTACCACTTCTCATAAAAATAGTTGAAAGATCTTTATATAATTTTATTAATAAGAACTATGTGTTGAATTGCTTCATTAGCTATGAAAGGCTGTTCTAGGTCAAGCCTTTGCCAGAATCATACCTGGGACACAAGAAGGAAGGATTCTGGTCATGATCATTCAAGACATCTGTTCGCAGTCTATGCTATTGGTCAGACAAAGCCCAAGGGAGTTCTTACAACCTGGCTTGTAGCTATCTATAAAGGCTTCTTACAACTCATCTACAGTTACATTAATATTCTTGAATTCAGTGTAGGAGAGAGACTGAGAACAGTACTCAAAGCACTAGCTAACTGTTTCTGTTGACCTCTTTTACCTGGCCAGCCCACAGATTTTCAAAAGTCTTTTAAAGTGTCTGAAAGTCTTGAAAAGTGTCTTAACATAAACTTCATGGGCACCATACACGATTTTACATTTCTGCCCCAAGACAACAGCATCACAGCTTGATGGTATAACAACATGTGGTGTACAAGAAGAAAAGGTTGGTGCTTCTACTCTACATCATTAAGGACCACATTTAGAGAAACTGAGCTATGAGGTCTGTTTTTATAAGTGAGTACAGGGACAGAGAAGTAAAAGATGATCTAGACACAAGCTTGTCTCCGTTGTCTATTGAATATCAGAAAGTACAAACAGAAAATGCATACAGGGCTCACCCCAGGCTTCCAGACAGGAGTACACAGTTCTTAATGCACTTACTGAAGTTATGTGCAACTTTTCGATCTAGCATGATGTGTTGATTCACTGAAGGTTCATTTCCTAAAGATACTGCCATGTCTTGGATCTGGAACTGATCACAGAGTCTGGATACATCTATTTTTTTCTTGCATGGCTCACATGATGCCCAGATAGATTTAGGAATCTAAAAATACAGGATTGACGAGGTAAACAAAAAGCCAAATGAACAGAGTCACTTTGCTCCATGCAAACATATAGAAGGGCATCCAGGCTGGTTTGTGGCTCAGCTGTACTTCTGTGATAACTCTACATATAATACACTCTACAATTTCATTGTTTTCAACAGCTACCACTACTTTTATCCTCACCTTATCACAAGGAACAACATCCCAGTGAAAAGCTTTTGTTCTCTTTGTTGATGGAGAAAGGTTGCAGGGCTGTGGCAACACAGGTGGGGCTGGTGGTACCTCTGCCACACTTCTGGGAAGTGGAAGAGATGGTGGTGCTGGGGCTGCTTCCCCCTCTGCGGCCTTTGTTTGGAGGCTTGGAGACCTGATCAGGCTGGTTGTTGGAGAACTTGCACCCAAGTGGAGGGCTTCCTCTTTCTGTTCATTCAGAGGTACAGTAAAGTCCTCATAATCTGCTTCGGGGGAAACGCACCCTTGAGATCCCTCCTGAGGCAGTGAAGCATCCTTGCATTGTGGACAGTACCTTTCTATGAGAGACACCCACTCATTCTGCAGCCTACAAACATCCTCTGTCCTGTTATTCTGGACAGTAAAGGGTATTCGAAACCTGAAATTTAGGAATGTCATATATAAATGCAAGGAAGTGTAAATAACATGCTGACTAACAGAACCAAAGATATTTCTTATTTAAGCAGAATGATGTTCAGCAGCTTTATTTGTCAAAGGAGTCCAGTGCTGCTGACTCTGACCTTTTCAGACAGAGTTAATTGCTTACGTGTCTCGGGTTAGAGAGTTGAGGTTTTGCCATGTATTGACTTTGTGGTGCAGTTACCTTCTAGTTCCTCTTCTCCACCTTGGGGGAAGGTGAACAACGTGTTATGTCTTACGTGCTTGTTGCACAAGCTAGTCAGAATCTTTTCACACATCTGTCCTATCAAGCTGAATGATACATCAACTAGCTCCAGACATGGCAGCAAGATAAGTCTTTGTGGGCAATATTTCAATATATCTTCTCAATCCCACAATGTGGTGGTACCTTTGATTCCTCCTTTAAATACTCATCAAATCACTGCATAGCAACAGGAGAGGTTATCTGTGTAATTCTGATGACCTTATTTCCCCACTGTTGTGTTTTGTTGTGAGACACTGAGATTTTTCTGTTGCTTCACCTTGTTTTCAGCTGTTCTGCTTTAACAAATTATTACCAACTATACTTACAAGTAATAGTGTTCTTTGGTCTGGACTGAGAAGGTACTGCATCCGTTCTCCTTGCTGACACTCACATCACCCCCTGACAAATTAATTGTATTTGTTATAGGGTCTGCATTCTTGTTCTGTCCTCCCAGACTTATGGAATATAAAGTCAGTTCTCCTTCCCGTAGCTGTACCAAGTACCTGAAGGACAAGGAATGGAGATACAATTCATTCTTCGCTGACTACTTATTAGTCTTACTTACTACTTACTTAAATCCTTGCCTTTGTCAGAGCACCTTCTCACATTGATAAGTCTCCACATCTTTACAGCATCTTCCATGAAACAGTCAGAAAGTATCAATACTAAAGCATAAAACCTTTGAGTTGAGGTCTTCTTACTCTCATCTGACACATAAGTAAACTGTGTCATAAAACATGAACTTCCAGTCTATCATGCCTAATGAGAGAGACAAATTAAGGAGATCTGACTATCAACTAAAAATCACCCTCATCCTGTTAATTTGATAGCAACACTCTGTTCCTCCCACTCCATTTATGCCTCTCATTTGTTTGGGATAGTGGGTCTGTTTGACTATGAGCTTTTAAATGTGTGACTGTGTGACTGAGCAGTGAATAATTTGACAAGGTTTCAAAGTTTCTATGTCTTCCAGGTTCCACTGCCATTATACTACAAGTAAGCCACCGTAATACAAGTTAGTGCTCAACCCTATAGTCCAACAACTTTCCCTCTTGGAAACACCTCTGTGCGTGCTCTTACTCCATGAGGATTGATCCTGGTCCCCTTTCATTCCTACAGATCACTTGGCAGGAAATGGTCAAAGCATCTGCTCTCAAGGGTTTCCATGAGAAGTGACTGTGCCAAATTTTGCGTATAACCTACTTACATGGCAAATTAAGCCTGGTAGAAATTGCCTAACCATACACAGTTTCTATTACAACAGAATCTTCTGCTTCAGCCTCTCCTCTAGGATTCTGCTCTGCTGCTTATATCAAGGGTCCCACATTCAACAAGCGGGGCTTCACCGTACCTGACTTTTATTCTTATTTAAGCTTTTGCATTCTCATTTTTCTTGAGGGATACTGCATTTCTTTATCATTCTGACAGTTCTATCAGACATTTATCTTCCTCCACCCTCTTTTCAAGGTATGGCTAGTTGATTAAGGTGTTCTATGAGGAATTTAAATAAGTTGAACTGGTCCAGAAGAACTAAACATAAAATATAAATTGCATCTATTCCCACAAAAGCAAAGAGATAAGAATTGTTTAATGGAGCTGGCAGTTATATTGATCTCTCCTTTCTTTAAAGCAGGGACTTATAGTTTAATCGTATCTCCAGATGTTTCCACCATTATTTACTTTGCCAAAAAGAGAAGAGAGGATTAATATCAAGAAGAAAGCAACAAGGGCTTTGCTTCACAAGATAAACAAAAATCAATTTTTGTTTCTTAACAAACGTGCTAAACGTTGCAAAGTAACAAATCCTGGGACACACTTGAGGATAGTGTTTACAAGATATACAGTGGTAGCCTTTTAAAAGCAATTAAAATTCTTTTCTGTGAACTGTGAAGTCTTTTGAGATAATTGCCCTGTGCAGATAATTACAATGTTAATTTTTTTCATTCATTTTTGCTAGGCAGATTTTTTTTTCTCTCTCTCTCCTTTGATAGTATAAGCAATGTCCAGATATTTTAGGGAATGGTTCAGGAAGGATGGATTTTCTGTAAGATGGATAGCAAACTATGCAAAACCATTGTGGCTGGTTCACTAGTTTAGTAACTGAATAAGCAGAAGCAAAAGTTATGCTTATCTGCAATGGCTCAGGGGCTGAATGAAATGGTGGTGACTGAATAACGTTTCCTGTCTCTGAAACCATCACCCCATTAGGCCACCATGGTTGGTCACCCCACAAGAGGGAAGTTCAAAACATTACAATAATTAATTATTAATCTGGGGGCAGCCATTTGGCCAGTGTGGATCACTGTTCTCTAGCAGGATTTTTATACTCCTTAAGTGCTTTGCCATTCTTTTTCTCCCTTTCCTTATGGCTGAAAAAGAAGTAAAGACATAAACAAAGAAGTCCATTAAAATCATTCTAGCACCATCATCATTATACCCTTGTGTTAGTAATGCACACAGCAGTCTCTAGCACACACCAGAACTTCATTTTGTTGCATACCACGATTGCACTACCAGTTAATTTCCATGTTTTCATCTCATGCAGGTTTGGCGTCTCAGTTTAACTTTAAAAAGCAACTAAATAATTAACTTAATATTGGCAAATTAAAAACTTCAAGTATTCATGAGGAATTTTAACAAAATCCACAACCCAGAAGTCTATGAAAGTGCAGTTCATACTTCACCCATTCAGTGGATGTAAAAGTCTTCTGATGCAAATCCAGCAGTCCTTCATGCAGCACATCACATTCCGTGGGTCTTCCAGAGCAGGACTCTGCTCGTCTCTTGTACGAGTTGCTCTGTATAACTCTGCTCAGAAGGTAAGTTATCTGTATAATAAGTGGCATGAGACAGAGTATATTTTCCATGTTAATTCCCTTGAATAAAACATTAATATGTGGATTTTTCAAGTATAAAAATGATAGACAACACTATAAGCAGCAGCCAAACAGGTAAAATAAATTAACATAAAATAAATGCAGTCTTTCTATGATGCTAAACTACTTAACTGCAATTTGGTTTTATGCCCACAGTTCTAAACCTGTCAGTGTAAGGAGAATAACATTTTATTCTGGAGGGGTTACTGTAAAACATAATTTTACTTTAATTCATATACAAAGCCATCTAGTACAAAGTTTCTATTCAGTTCAGTTCAAGCCCAAGTAGGACTTGATTGATTTAGCTTGAATTCTCAAACAAACCCAGCAAAACATGAAGGTCTGTCTGCAGCTGAAAGTAGCATGAGATGAGAGTGAATTTGAGGCACTCTTTTTGTTATACAGTGCCACATTTAACTGTTCTTGCTAGAGGATACATATATCTTTTTGAGCTCATCTGCTAAATGTGATCTATTTTGAAAATTAAGCTAATCAGCCATGAGGTACTGTTCATCTGGAATAAAAGTTCTGCACATGGAACAAACCATTAAATTTCACAGGGGTTGAATCCCTCTACAAAAAAGCTTGGGTACAAACTCTTCCATGCTTTTTGGGAGTTTGTGTCTCAACCTCAGTTGTGCAGCTGGCCTCAGCATCTCAGCAGTGGGATGACACAAACTCCAAGAGCTGATCACCTCTGAACATGAGACAACTGCATTCAGGTGAAAAGCTAGTGCTAATGTCACAACTCGTTTCTCAAGTTTCAGTGCAATATCTAATTACCTATCTATCTATTACCTATCTAAATCTAGTATTTAATTGAACCTAGACCTCAAAAGGAGCTGAGGCCTCAAAGTGAAACAGTTTGTACAAAATCCAGCACCACTCAATCATTTAATTGAATATCTAGTTGCACCTAGGCTGTCTTCCTCTAATAATTTTATTTCAGTGTATTTTGATGATAAAAGACTAAGTAATTGGTCTTTTTCTTTTTACAGCATCAGGATGGCATACTTCATTCTTCTTAAAAGCATGCATTTTAATGAATATATATATTTTAAAACACTTAGAATTAATCTTCCAATTAAGATTCAACTGTAAATGTTGTCAGTTTTGTTTGTTTGCTTTAATACAAATCTCAGACTGGTTACACTCAAGGTGTAGTTGAACAAATGCATCCACTTTCCTGTCACATCTTGAGCTGGTTTTAAATCTTCAGCCCTAGTGAACTGTGGCAAAATCCTAAGGCCAAACTTTACTCTGAACTCACATTCTCTTTGTTCCATGTACGAACACACACCGAATAAAGACATACCTACTTCTTTGCTTGAACAATGCACAGCATAACAATTCCCATTTATGATTTGGACGTGCTGGGTACTACCATAACATTAGCTGTTATTTATAGCAGTCTGTCTATGACATTGTAAAAATTTACCTTCCTTTTATCATCAAGAGACACTGCTTCCAGCTCATAATCTTGTCGCCCATGAAACACAATGCTGAAGCGCCTCCTTTCAGTATCTTCACAGGCTTTGACTTGTGAGAAAGGGAACTGTTTCTTAATAATTCCTTTTTCGATGTTAAAAATGGTCTTTGTGTTGAAATCAATCTGGAATAGAAAGTTCTTTATTACTTGACTCCATTGCGTCTCTTCATTGCAAGGGAAAGGCAGCATCCCAAGTATTACCATGTAAGAGCATTTAGATAGATACACATTCTCAGCCTGTCCTTTATCTTGCCAATGAATAGAATAAAAAATGACATTTCATCATAAGATGCTGTACTATATTCGTTTTAGTTACAAAACTAACACATACTTATTGTAACTGTGTTCCCCTGTCTCTTTTGATGAATATGCATCAATTTATCACTCTGAAATATTATTTCTTCTTAAATTCTCCTTGTCTTATACAACTCAGTGCAAAAACTTCCCATTCAGCAGCAGTGGTAGCACAAACTAATGGCATGACTATCTCAGCAGAGACTCATTTACCAACTGGTTCAACCTATGCCCCAGCATTAAAATGAAGGTGGTTATTTTTATAACAGCTGCTGTGTATCAGGAAAAGAGGATACTATTGAGAGATTGCTTTCTGATATCAATATTACTGTGGTTTGGTTTAGATCTTATGTAACAGGTTTTTTTAGTCTGTATGTATAAATATGTATGCATACAGATACATATAGGTGAAGGGAGTGATGATAATAAAGATTTTTACTGCTGTTTCACAGCTATCACAATTAAAAATTCTTTGCTTCAAAAAAGGATTATTCTTATTCCACTGCACAATCTATATTTGTAGTGTTAAAATCTGCTACAGACCAATCCCAATGTCTGTTCTGTGTGTCAGTCCCTGCTGAGCCGCAGCAGCTTTGTTGATAAAGCAAGACGTGAATATCATCTGACTGCCCAGCTACAGTGAACACAGCTCACAGAGAAGACAAACTCAGAGACGTCTCAGATCTCACCTGAGTTAGATATTTACCTTTGGTCATAAATGATCCCTGGCACTTTTCATTCCTACAATGCAGACTATGCCAACCAAATGTTAACACTGTGGCCGCTCCCTGGGTTCTGTTTATAGCAGACAACCTCCACAGCAGAACCATTCTCATTATCTCTGACTTTTCAAGGCTGCTAGTAAGTACAGAACTGGAATTACACTACTCCAGATTCCCAGACTGATAACTTCCACATGTAACATAGCTTTCTCCATCAGCTTTATGTCTAGATAAATAACTGTTTAATTTCAAAAATCAGTAGATATTGAGACAAATAAGGAGATTATACTTTCTGCAGTTAAGATGTAGTAAACAAAAAAAAAGCATGTATGACTTTGGACTTGCTTGTTATCAAATTTGTTTGAAACTGCAGGAAAAATTCAGTAAAATCAATTTTCCTGGAAACAACACGGAACCTTTGTCACTGACTTCATGGAGTCAGAAAATCACTATCAGGTACTATTGAGAGAAGTTTGATTTAATATCATGCGAGTCAAGGCATTAGCCTTAAGGGTTCATAATGTTAAAAAAATTCACTGGCTATAGTAACCAGAGATGAAATGCGTAGTCTGCCAAATGAACCTTCTGAGTATCCCCAGGAACATCTCTTCCCAAGGTTTTAGAGAATGCCGTTGAAGTACTGCCCTGTCAAAAGGGACAGATAGTTAAGTATGTCTACATCACACGTATGCATTTACTGTTGCCAACTGATAAGAACAACTCCCAGGCAGAACCTGTTATAATCAATCATCTTTGTGACAAATTGTGGTTTTTAGAGATGAAATAATGTCTGAGATCATCAAGTCCATTCTACAGCCCTCCCAAGGACTCAGCAGAAAGCGTTTTGGACTTTAATCCCAAAATACTTCTAGGGTAAAAGGCAGAAATTCTGTTCAATAGCTTAGAAAATCTTGTTGTTCAGTGACAACCTAAGCATCCTGTGTTTTTTTATATATTGCTTCAAAAGTGACAATCTGTGAAGTTACCTGCAAGATTCGTTTCTGCCATCGATAATGTTTGTATTTGTAGATAATGAAGTTAAATTGTGAGCCAGTTAGCAAATCCTGTGAATCCTGAAAAATAGACCAGAAATCAGCAATACATTCAACACTGTGCTCATTTTTGCCCACTCATATCCAGTCATGTTCTCAGGTGAAATCTCTCCCGGTGAAGTGCCCAAACAGCACTGGAGGCTTTTCAGAACAACTACACGTGGAGATACATGGAAACATCCTCCTGACCTGGTTTTCACAAGCACAAAACAGTGCTGCTGCCCACAAGTCCTGCTGAACAGATTGGGATGGAAGGTGAAAGGGAGAGAGAAAGCAAGAAGATGGGAAGGAGAAGAGCAGAGCCTATGGAACTGTACTAAACACATTTTAAAAGCACACGAGTACAAGCAGTCCATTAAATAGGCTAAGCAGCAAACAAGAAACAGGTGACTTTAAAGAAAGATATTTACAGATGGTGATGCAATGCAGTACCATGGAAGTTTTTTTCTTGGTATTATACAAGGGTATACAATTTGTTTTCTGGTCCCTTACAGAGCTATTCTGTGTGCACAGCAGATGAACAATATTTTAATCTCCAGGAAAATGCAGAGAAAAGAAGGTTGTGATCCAGTGATATTAAATTTGATTTAGTTCTTATAATTAGCTATTAAAAAACTTTAATGTGGCAGAAATAGAAAAGAAACCCTTTCTCCTCTTACTCTGGGAGTATATTTTTTATTTTCTATAGTCCTACACTGCTGAGTTTAATATTTTTCTTGACAGCAGCCCTTCTGCAAAACATGCACTATTTTTTTATTGGTATTTATTTTTGCTTCTCCTTCTTTCCATCCAAGAAGTTAATAAGCAGTACAGAAAGTTATTTTTAAACCTGGTGCTTTCTGGAATTTTTATCTCAAAGTCACTATAAACTCCTGTTAAAAAAAAAAAAAAAAAAATCAGATTGTATCATTAGCACATCGTAAGATTTCCCTGTTTCCAGGACTGCTCTGATGGGGAGGCTGGTTCAAAAATCCTGAGCAGAGGGGGAAATAGATGCTGAAAAGTTCTGCAAAGAATTCTCTGCTGGCACTTCTGTGGTGATGATGGACAGAGATTGCAATGAGATGCTGTTCAGCAGTTACGGGAAGGAGTACAACACTGAGTACACATTCCATGTACTCCTCACTCTCAAACCATTTTCACTCACCATTATTAACTTCTTCTCTCAGGAAATAAATTTCATGCTTTCTATTTAACAGAAAGATGCTAATGTTCCACTTGTGATTATCAGTGAAAAGATGAAGCTTTTGACAGGGAAAAAAAAAGTCTTGAGTCTCAATCTGATCCTGAAGAAATCTCTGGACGAGACCTCGTGGTCTTGTTGAACTATGCTTAGCAAAGCTATGTTGTTGTAGGACCCAAACCCAGTTTTTTAAGCCACCTTTACACCAATTCTACTTTTGCCTGATGGAAGGTCAGAGTCAACCACAGGCAATATTAGAGCTGAAGGTACAGTGGTCAAGGCTTTGCAGTTTGTAGCCAGCTATTCTTGTGGCCATGCCTAACACTGAGTTGTCAGACTCATGAGGTTATGGTATTATGGTGACCCGTGTCCCAGAGCAAGTCGTACCACAGGGACAACCCAATACTTAGAAGACCCCTCAGTGATTAGATCCGTCATTTTCCTGATGTGCTTCATAGTATCAGCCAAAGGCTTTTGCCCTACATTTACTGTTACAGTACTTGATGCTGCACTGAGTATAACAAAACTCATATGGATACATCTGATCTAGATTTAAGCTTCTTAGTGCAGGTAATGACATCAGTGTAGCTGCTGCTTCTACCTGGGATACCCATTACAAAGGGCACAGGTCGCATTAGACATTAGTACCTGAAGTATTTGGTTACAAACTGGAGTGTATGTTTGCCCAAGTTAGGACAGCATCTATGAAAGCAATACAGATATGCTCCCAACACTCTACCAGGATTTCTAGAACATACTCATCCATTTGAAAGTCTTACAAAATAGATCAAAGGAGGGACCTTACCTTTTCAGCATACACCTCTTTCTGTGCCAAATGCAAAGCTCCTTCAATGCTCACTTCTTTATTTTTCACCATGTTCATAATTTTGAGGATTTTTTCCTGGCTTAACTGGAAAAAAAAGTCAATCAAATGTTTTTAAAGACTGCTTTTTTTATCTGACTATGAAGGATACAGAGTGCTTGTGACAGCTGCAGCTACGGTATCTGCCATAAAATTACAATTTCGTTCATATTTTATGTTCTATCGACAACCTGCCCAGCAAATATAATCTCCCTTTGAAACCTGGTGAAAGTCTACAAGATATCAGCTATACAGGGGCTTTTACAATTGTAAAAGATGGGGTGGTAATATCTGGAGACAGAACTGCCAGGAGGAAATCTTTTTTTAGTTAGAAAATCTGGCAAGAAGTGAAAACATCAATTTTGCATGCTTGCCTGTGTCTTACCCTTAGTGTAAAGTACTGCATGCAGACAATATGAAAGCAAAATTAGGAACATTCAGAATTTTCAGGGTGAAAGGAGGAAAAATTGCTGTTGGTACCAGTGGTATAGCTGTCATGTGAACTTATTTAAACACATTAACAAGCTAGCATTACACTTCCTCTTTCTTTTACCAAAAAGGGAGGTCGCACTGTCAATAAGCCTACACACAAATCTGTGTTGCTCTCAAGTGAAACAGTGGGGATTGCAAGGCCAAAGAGAAATCAAGCAAAGAAACAAGGCAAGTAGAGTAACCAGGGACCCAGAACTACAGCCCTTTTATTTTTATTGTTGGTAAAGCTTTTCACAGACTTTGTAGAAGGAATAAACAGCCTCGCTTGAGACAGACCAAAGAGTTCGTTTGTGTGATATCCATTCCTCAATAGGAGCAGAACCAGGAATTTGGAAGGAGTGTATAAGTTTTGCCACCAGACCTCAGGAACTCTGAAATTTTTTAGGCAGTAGCTTAGCTACAGTATTCCATTAGCTACAATATAAAATGTTTCCTACCCAACATTAATGAATTCATCACCGGGAGATAAGTTTCTACAGTAAAATCTTGCAAGCCATCCTTTTCAAACTCTTACACATGGACATCCAGGTGAAGAGCTCACTCCAGGTGCATTGCCCAGGCTGTGCAGGAGAGGTCTCAGGAGGAGGAAAGGAGCCTGCCCTGCATCCCTGTTGCTGGAACTGCTGGGATGCTAACATGTTCAGAGCAAGGCAGCTCAGAGAATCTCAGCATTGCAAGCAAACCTGAATTTGGCTACACAAAGGACAAGGCACCAAGACCTGGAGTGGGTTTTGCTGTTCTTGCTATGGGAAAAAGAAGATGAAGAGCTAAAACCAGGCAAAGAGCCAGGTCTGCTGCCCAGGAGTGGGAGAGTGGGTAGAAATCAGGGCTCCTGAGATTTGTGCCACCGGAAACTTGTGACTGTTAGCCCAGCAGCAGCCACCCAGCTGCCTCCCAGGCCCCTGAGGCAGGCAGGGCAGGCAGCAGGGCTGCAGCTGCTTTACCACCCCCAGCACCTTCCTGTCTTAACCAGCCACCTGCTTTACCTACGCCTACAGTTCTCCACAGACATAGCAGCTTCTCTGCTAAAAAACCCAGAAACATAGCCCTGCAGCAGAACAAGATCCTCTCCACCCATCCAAGCACCACAGCCACCCAGCACGAGTCTGATGGGCAACATAAAAATAACCACTCACACCACAGAGGTCAGGGACCATTAATTCCACAGGTTCTTTTTTTCTGAGCCCCACTACACATTTCAGCTTACCAAACTTCTAACATCTCAACCAGTTTCTGATCAACAGACACATTGTGTGCTTTTACAGCCTACGAATAAAACTGGGAGTGAAAGAAGAAGAAATATTTTGGTTTTAAAGCCTTGGAATTTTCAATGCTAATATAAAGGTAAATTATGGCATAGCTCCCAACTGCAAATAGTAATGTGAACAGTGAGGAAAGAATGAAAGCAGTCTGATAATTCATTCACACTAGCTGAGGCACAGAAGGTTTCTACAATGACCTCCACATTCTGTATTTGAATTTTAGATGGCCATGTATTTATACCACACCTACACTGTATACTGTTAGATCTTAACAAGATAATTCCCCTCTGAACAGGCTCTATGTACGCTAACAGGAATATGGGTATATTCGTATTGAAAAATATAATTTCCTTAAGGCTAAGCTCTGCCAGCTTTAAAATATAAGATCCTGTTCAGAGAGAGGAACAGTTCTGGATAGGAAGCAGGACAGTATTTCTGCAACTGTTAGCATGTTTGTACGGGGAAGGTTTCAAAGATTTTACATCAGGATGGCAATGATAACACAAAGATAACACCATGGCCTTATGTCAAAGGCACCATCTGACTAACATAAACAAGAGAATTATTTATTTCCTTTGCTTCAGTACACAAGTAATTCAATTAACAAGCTCAGTTCTCATTTGAATCTCTCAGTGTTGTCCAGCTATACAATATACTGTGCACGTCTGCAGGGATGCTTCCTCATAGCAGCCAAGAAAAAAAGTTTCAACTTGAAAAATAAAAAGCTTTACATTTTTTTTTTCTCAGTTATAGGTATATTTCAGTCACTATCCCTGTTCTTGTGCAAGCACCATACTCTGCAGTGCCCTGAGCATCAGATATTTTAAGGTCTGTCTTTTTGGGCAAATATTCTATCTAGGACTGAGAAACCTTGCCATGTCTCTACTAAAAATGAGATTTTCTTGTAATTCTTTCTCTTTTACATTGAGGTAAAAGTTGTAGGTTATGTTTTGGTTTTTACTTTCTTAAAAAAAAATATTGTAGAAGGGATTTCATTTTTGGCTTTATGAAGTATTCAACTCTTCATTCTGCTTACCTTCACCAAAGTCTCCTTTAGCCTAGAATGAAATTCTGCCCAAAACATGAAAACGACAGGGAATATTCTCTTAATTTGCCTAATAATGTATGAAGAAAAATGTTTGTAAAAGAAAAGCAAATTATTTTGTATACACCAAATTCAAGAAGGTTAGTTAGTAAGTTAGACTACTGACAGTTAATGTGTTCCCCAGAGAGCACACGAAAGAGAGCTTGGTACAGGTTATTTTTAACAGCACCCTGTTGTTTTAATGTCTCTGTTAACTCTCTTTCTCTCTGCATATCTGTAAGCAGGAGGGAAACATTTCAAAAGACAAGAGAGACAAAAAAAGGCATTTTTCAGCTTATGAGCACTGTCAAAGCTATTTGTCAGAAGTCTGTCTGTCTCACTCAGGTTTTTGACAGCCACACGTTAACGTGGTATTTTTACTTGCAAACAAGACTTGAGTAACAGATCCTGACCTTTATAATTTTGTATCTGTGGGGCTTTTCTCTTAGCATGCCACAGTTTTTGCAATGCTCATTCCTGTGTTTGTTTTGCGTATGTTTTTTTCCTAAAAAGAAACAATTTTTGTTACATTATCCACTGAAATGCCACCAAGTCAGATTGTGTTATATTGCCTAACAGAATGTGACTGGTGCAACCAGACAGAACATTTTTATACAAGATTGAATAATAAAACTTGGAAATAAAACTTAAATGCTTCTATTATAAAGCATGGACATTAAGGAAATACATGAAATTGTGTTAATAATGCATTTGTTTACCTGCCAGGTCAAAGAAGCTTGTGTAATACAGATTAGATTTTCATCACCCACCAAAAATTCAGTATAGCCACATAAGTGATTTGAAAGAAAAATCAATGCTCACAACTGAAGGAAGAGATGGGGGCTCCAGGCATTCTCTGTATAGCCATTGCTCTGCAGGGTGAGGGGTTTGTATTTTTGGCCTAGACATGGTGTAAAATGTGCTTAGTGGTGAGATATGAGATTTCTGGCTTATTCCTGGTCAGCTGCCAACCCAGTACTCCACATGTCCGCTTCCAGGGCTCCCTGCCACTCTCCATTTACCCAGCATAGTCTTGCAGGAGGCCCTAAGGGGTATGGAAGGTTTTGCACGTAGTCTCCATGCTGTGGAGATATTACCCTAATGACTCTAGAAAAGCCCCCAGACCTTCTGAGCATCAACCAAGGAAGAAGGGTTAAAGCCACGTCATCTGAGCCGTTTACAGCTGGCCGAGCAAAGCAGTGGAAGGTTTGCAGAACACTGGTAACCGCTCAAGGGTAAGACAAGCTAACATCTTCCTGTGTTTCTTTGTGACTCTCATTCCCTAACACACACTAGTTCACATTCCCCCAACTACCAGAGGACTGCTGTGGCTCCTATGCAGCCAGTGGAGACACCTGGCCCTCTCTAGGTGGAAATTCACCACATGCAAGACGTGTCTCATTATCGGACAACTCTTTCTCTCCATTACCTACAGCACAATCTGAGCTATATGGCTTCTGCTCAACATATTCTTATTCTGTGGACTATCCTTCCTGAATCATAATAATATGACATCAGTCCAATGCAAAAAGGCTCCTGGAAGGTGTGCACCTACACCCATGGGGACACAGCGCAAGGAATCGGGCTGTCAGTCAGCGATCCCTATGATCTCAATTACTGCCAATACTGGCATGGCTCAGTAAGACATTATTTCAGGTTTACTTAGTTGAAGATCATAGCTAATATGCACCAAGCTCTATCATTTCCTGTGACAACAAAACCAAGTCATGTAGAAATCCTGCTCCCTGTACAAATGAGGAGAAATTTTTATTCAAGTCTAGTCAAGCTTTTCACTATTAAGCATACCTTACACTTGTCCTTATTAAACACTAACGGGGTTAAACATTCTCATCTGCTTGCTGCAAGGAATAAGAGACAAACCAGCCCTTGGCTACTGTGGGACCCAAAAGGGAAGTCTGGACTGAGAGGGTTTCTTCCTCATCCTCTGCACTCCACAGCAGCATCTCCCTTTTAGCACTGCTAGAATCAACACTACAAGCAACAAGGGGGCTCAATCCAAGAGGGAAGAGCCAAGTAGTGGCTACATTTGCTTCATGGAGATCTCATGACTTTGTGGGCATAAATCTGACTAAATGCTAGTGTTGTCTACACAAAAAGAAATATGCTGTTTTAACATACATGCCTGACATTTTTTATCCAGCACAGTGTAATATTTTCATTCATTTTGGAATCCAGTTATTTTTTAATGCTGCTTTTAATAATAGATTTTGTATTCTATCAGGATAAGGAGACTTTGAGGTAAAGCCTTCTGGGGATTTTGTGTTGATTCAGTGCCTTCCAGCCACGGTCCTGCAAAGCAACAACAGTGTAGAAGCTTAAAAATAAGTGCCAGGATATAATGCAGCAATTGACCTGTGATTAAATTTCAAGTAGGAACTTCTTTTTTCACTGTGTTTTTAAAGAAAACAATTTTTTCCTTTTTTTTTTCCTCCTCTAAATCAAAGGCAGTAACTTAGTTACTACAAACATTTGTCCTCCTCAGTACTATGCTGAACTGCTTACATGTTGAACATGTTATTTAAATGATTTTAAAGACAGTGGACACAATCTGGGTTGCCCTAAAAGTTCCAGTTTGGTGCTACAAGCTTTCATCTCCTAATGTATTTATTTTCACCAAGTCTGGACTTGGCCCAAAGTGTACTGAGTGCTCCCATATATTTACAGGGGAGTGGCTGTCTCCTATGACTGGGGCATCTGAAAAGGCTTCACTTGTAATTTGCATGAAATATCAATACAGATGATGGATGTGATATTTTATGTGGCAATACCATCTTTTGTAGCCAGTAATAGACATAGACTAATATTATTTGTCAAACAGAGATGCTATTCATCAAATAAATTATCCATCTGTAATAATGTTTTCCATATTTTGTTCAGACCTGTATCTGGCTGAATAATATCTGTCAACATTTATTCAAAGAAGAAGGTATTCATCAAACAGTAGCTTGATTTCCTTGAAAATACAGGAAATTCTGTCACTTTTAGTAGGAGCTGGAGAACCCCAAAGGTTGTTTGGGTTTTTTTTTTGGTTGATATAAAGATATATAGTAATTAAGTACAACAACAAAAAAAAGTCTCAAAGAGCTAGTCTTAAAAATACTTAGAAGCCTAAAACATATACTGGTGCCTGGTGACATATAAATGCCACATTGTAAAATACAAACTAGCCCACCTACTTCAAGTTTTGAAAATACCACCATATTGAGGAATCTCAAAGCTTAAACATTTCTTAAAGTTCCAGCTGAAAAACTGACAGTTTATAGGCCTCTCACAAAAGCAAATACTTTAGAGTTTCCCTCATTCATAACTCCACAGACCAGCATGGGCTCTCCTGCTTTAACAGCACTTGGAAGTTGTCAGGAAATTACACTCAAAGTAGGTACCAGAGTTTCACTGCAACAACTCGAAGGATAACTTTTTTTTTTTTACTGGAGATTTTGCTTATTAAATCTGCAGACTTTGGTATGAAGGTGGAAAGAGCTGCAAGTGAGTTGTAAGGGGGATTCAAATTCAAAACAAGCTTGACAAAAGAGAGAAGCAACAGTACACGTTTCAACAAGTGAAAAAACAAAATCTTGAAGAAGTTC